GTCTATGTAGAATAAAGGGAATTTTAGATATTATGCATACTTATCATTCAAGCCATTGTTTATATTGTATGTACAAATGTTGCACACTAAATAGACTTTTATTCATGTGTATTGGTTTAATTTTAGTATAATCTGACTTATGTAGTTTTTTTTCACTTGAAGTAGCTAAATTAAGAAATTTAAGGCAATTACATCGACAGATCCATTAAAATTTAGATGCCTTTGTTTTTACGGTATCGTAAGTTGCTGTCTAATAGAAACATACCTCATATCTTATTCTTGTTATATTGTTAGGTTACTTATATATCAAAACATTTAACTTTTAGACTAGTTTTGCAGGTTAAGTAATAGCTAGGGGTTATAGCAAGTCATATCAAGTGTCAGAATATATGAAATATTCAACACACATTTCGACATGATTTTACTAAACTATATACCATCTGCTTTATTAAACTCGAAAATATGAACCTGACATTGTAACCAACAATCGTGTTTTCCCTCCGGTTTAGCTCGAATATTTCTCAAAATGAAAACAGTTACCAATAAGCGATTTTAACATTTATTTTAAAACATGCTAAATCAACTCTATTTCGATGAGTATACTACATGAATTGATACAACATATATCATTTTCTTCCCATTACGTTGTCATATCTACATTATTATTTAGATAACCGATAAATATGATTATAGGCCAAATTTTCGCTGTATAATTGTTTAACTTATCAATGGATAGCCCCTTGTTACTGTCTTTGTAACACCTTTAGTCAATATAATCAAATTTGTATCATTTCTAGATAACAGTTATCATTTAAAGTATCTCACGGAAATAACATCTAACTAAGGTTTCAACTTACTCAAATTTATTTGACCTTGATGATTCTTTTGATTTTTCTCTTCTTTTTTTTATTTGGTGTTTCCAAGCTTTTGGTCACGAGCGTATACCTATGAAAGTCATTACTGCAGACGCATTTGGCATATGGAAATCATATTTTATACTGTATAAAATAATGCCTTGTAATTGTTTTGTTTGCTTTCGAATCAAAGATTGCCTATTTGCAATCATGTATAAGCTTATAACGAACTAGCAGAGTAACATCAATTTTATTGACAATTTTTAAGTTATTATTAGATTCCGAATGATATGAAATTAATGATAAATTCAACGTAACTGACGAAAGAAGAATAACAATAAGAAAATTTCAAATTCTAGATGAGGAGAAACAATCCTCAAAGTTTATATGGCAGCATTATACAGAGAACAGGAAAAAAACAAAAGTATATACCTGGGTGTAAAATCGTAGTCTGATATACCAATATGCGATTTTCCGTATATTTTGAGACTAGTTAACGACTGTATTACAACAACAACAAAGAGAATGTTTAAACCTATATGGCAATAAGTAATTTACAGTATATTTCTAGAAGACCTTTCATTCTCTTTTTGTCTCGTAATTTTATTAATCATTATATTAAATTCGTATTTTTTTAAAATCAAAATAATACAAATCACGAGACCGAGAAAACGGACATTTAAAACAATCTAGTATATAGAACGTTAATTACATCAGATATAGATACATAACCCCTGTGTGAAAAAGGTCGGATTTTTTATCAGGCATTGTCAATTTTTCACCTACAGTAAATATTATGCAATATTTAAATATTATTTAAGATTGCACTATCTTTCAACTGACTTCATTTAAGGACATATACTATAAACAACTATTATTTTGTATGGCATGTCATGTGTTTACAAGTGTTTTTCAGATTAAACTGTATATAGCATAGTACTCTAAATTCGTCTCATATATAAGACTGACAAAGACCGACAATTCTTTGTAAAATTTACTGCACAATGTGGTTTCTAACTAAAAAAACAAAACAGTGTCACGTTGAACAGTCTGAAAAATTGATTTTAGTATAGCATAAAGTTGTCTGATTTCTCAAAAATGCATATGAAAAAACCATTATATCGTTCTTCTGGAACTATTTTTGACAAAATTAAATGGAGATGTTAGCTTCACACAGTTTTATGAACTTTTGAGATCAAAATTTATCTCGTATAAATGTGTATTTATCATATAGTCCCATCCCGTCATTTTTTTTTAAACAAAAAGAGGTGCGTGAAATCATTACCACGACGATATTTTGACGTAAAATAAAAGAGACATTTAACATCATAAAAGCTGCAATCAGAAAATGAGAAATCATGTAAAAATTAAAAAAGAACAACCTTTAAAACAAAACAAAATCTTTCACACAAAAAATCACAGACTGCATCCATGAGTATTTAGCTTCCGTTTTGTCATGTATCGAATGTCAAAGAGGACAACAAACATGGTTGAAAGTGTATCACTTGAGATATTGATATCATCCTTATGAATTTGAATGCACAAATGAAAACTGGTTATGCAGAAAAAAAAACGTATTTTAGGTCAGAGTGTTTAATATAGCGACTTATTTTGTACTTTGGATTACTTCTAGTCATATCTATACATGCGACAGTGATATGAAAAAGACAAAATGATTAAGAGAACGATTATGTAATCTTTTAAAGTTTATAAATAGTTAAAAAATTATTACAGGAGAAGATGTGTCCTCTAATAAGTCGGGTTATCTTAAGATCAAATGTATAAACAAACATGAATTAATTTAGTCATATAGCTATCCATATTTTTAAGTATACTTGTACATCCTTGGCTTTCAATTTTTGTAGGTTTGAGAGTTCCTGGTGATGGTAAATACAGAAAAGCGCTTCGGACTCGTTATTCATTTTCTAGCACTGGATGCATACCTCTGCGGGTGGACTGTTAGTCCCCGATGGTACCATCAACTCTGCAGTCAATGCTTCTGACATGACTTATAACATACATTTCTTTAATTCTATGTTGAAAATTTTAGTAATCATTAAGAAACTACGGTCTTAACTCCCTCAATCAGAGTTGACTTGAGATGGATTATTTTTATGTTTATTTCGGTCATATAGCTCTTCAAGTTTTAAAAGAGATGCGAAAGATACCAAAGGGACATTCAAACTCATAAGTCAACGCCGTGGCGAAAAAAATAAAAAAAAAATAAAAAGACGAACAACAGTTTACAAAACACAACATAGAAAACTAAAGATTGTGCAACAAGAACCCCACCAAAATCCGGAGGTGATCTCATGTGCTCCGGAAAGGTAAGCAGATCCTGCTCTAGATGTGTCACCCGTTGTGTTGCTCATGAACAAACCCGGTGATAAGACTAATTCGGTAGGTGACAGGTATTTATAAATTCTTGACTTTAATTATTTTTGGTTTTTACGTTTCAGACGAAGTGTATCCCAGAAAAGCGCATCGAGCGCATCAAATTTATAAAGTGTAAAAGAGGGACGAAAGATACCAGAGGGACAGTCAAACTCATAGATCGAAAACAAACTGACAACGCCATGTCCAAAAATAAAAAGAAAAACAGACAAATAATAGTACAGATGACACAACATAGAAAACTAAAGACTAAGCAACACGAACCCCACCAAAAACTGGGGGTGATCTCAGGTGCTCCGGAAGGGTAAGCAGATTAACAAATAAGCCACAGATAAAGACAAAATAACAGATGCGCATTTAACTGTAAAAAAGGTGTAGTAAAAAATGATACATCAGTGAAGCCGAAAGTTTTTTTTAGTTACAATAAAGGTGTTAATAAATGTAATATTGCAGGTAAACGTTTTATCCACTCTCCAATATTAAAGTCTGAAAAAAGAGGAGGTAATATGGTATTTACTGTTCTTGCTTTGAGATTGTGGTGGGACTGGGAAACGATAACAATATAAATGTATACGTATTATGTCCCAGGGTGGGGATTGAACCGACTTTTTGCGAGTATTATATCAAATTTGGCATGCATTGACAATCATCAAAAATGATCATTTATGAATGATCATAGGATTTAACAATCTTTTCTTTTTTTGTTTTTATAAATGCGCTACACAAGGTTGGGATATTCGCTAAAATCGATTAGAATTAGCTTTTTTTCACAGACAGAATTTCTAAATTTTGAAATGAAAATCTAAATCTATATGTTCTCATTTTCTTCAAACGTTTGAATTCAAAAGTCTAAAAGTATTAATCATAACGTTGCAACCAAATTTGAATACGTGAAATTAATATCCAAAAAGTCGAGAATTTATTTCAGATATTTGAATTGAAAATATTTTAAGATTTAAAAAAATTAAAATTTTAAATGCTTGACCTATAATGGTTTACTTTTACAAATTGTGACTTGGATTGAGAGTTGTGTCTCATTGGCACTCATACCACATCTTCTTATATCTATTTTCAAGATTTCAAGTTTAAATGATTTTTTTAATTGCTGTGAGCTACAGGATATTTGGTTTAAACACCCGATTCCGACGTAGTGTGTATTCACAAATCTCCCAAATTCGAACGGACCCGTTTCCTTAAAAAGGAACCCATCGTCATACACGAGAGGGACACGAGGATCACTATTTAAAAGGATCTGTATTTACTTACTACTCTATTGCAAATGTTTAAGCCAGATACATTTTGTTTGAGTAGAAACTTGTTTATAATTTATTTAGCGATTCAATGACATTATAATATCGATTTATTATTTAGATTCTCGTTTTTTTTTTATAAAAGTCATTGTCAAACGATGATCGACAATAATTGCAACAGTACAAAACACTAGGGAAAACAATGTCATAACATTATACGACCACAAAAATTTTGTGGTCGTATAAAAAGGTTACTTACATCATCATATATAGTATCACTACTAATCGTACTAATGACAATGTTGTAGCTACATGGGACTTCTCCGAATGTTTTTCCATATCATTTAACTGTCATTTCGAAACTCCCGTTCTGTATAGACTGATTGTTTTAATTTTCTAACACCATATCTTTAATTAGTATGTGGCTTTTAGGGAATATAAAAAAATATTACAGAACAAGTTTCTTGTTTCAAAATGAAAAAGAAAAAGAAAAACATAAAACAACAAATGTGATAATTTAATTCATGTAACAAGTATGTAATACATCTATGAGGGCGTTAGCCCGAATGAGTGTATCTAATTTACACCAACATATCATTGTCAATGCAGAATGATAGATTTCAAGAATATGAGGACGTTAGCCCGAATGGGTGTAACTAATTTACGCCATGATATTATTGTCAATGCAGAATGATAGTTTTCAATAATTCAGGAAGGGGGTCTTTTAGCGACTTGATCATTTGTTATTGGAAAGCATGATAAATGCAGGGTATCCAATTTCATTTAACGACATTTTGGTGTAAATAGCGATATATTATTTCTGTGACTTGTCTGTAAGTGTTGCTCTCCGCCTATTGCAGTTTATTCAAAATTCGGAACCAATTCACGCGGCAATTTGTTTTATCAAACCGAACTATTCAACAGAAATTTTTACCAACTTCTTAATAGTGCAAGGTGATAAAATAAATCAAACTTACAATCATACAAGACTTTACTTCATAACTATTATGAAAATGATGATCAAAATTTTATTCATATTGTTATTGTAAAGAGTCATTTGAAAGGTGAGAGGAAGTTATTTTTGAGTTGCTAAAAAATGTCCAAACTAAGCTTTTATACTATTTTTATTTCAAAAGTCTTCTATATTCATAAGAATCAGACATCAGTTTGAATTAAAACATGATATATTCAGTAAAATATATGTGAAATACCAGTATGTTGGTAATAAGTTTCCATGCGGGAGATAATCTAAACTCATTGACCCCTTTTTTGAAATATTGATTTTAGCTCCCTTTAAAACATCAAGGGAATATATTTAAACTTAAAGTATAATTCACCAAGTATTTTAGATATTCATTTTAAGAAAGCTTTGTGGCATGAATAGCAAAACACATTGTTAGAAGAAATAATTCAAAAACTTAAATTTGAACATTATTTGGCAATTCAAAAATGTCTACCTCTCACCTTTCGAATGACTCTGTACAAAAATTCTAATTTACACCACTATATTATTGTCAATGCAGAATGATAGTTTTCAATAATTTAGGAGGGGGTCTTTCAGCGATTTGACAATATATTATTGATAAGCACATAAATGCAGGGTATCCAATTTCATTTAATGACATCCCGGTGTAAGTATAGAAATTTTTTGAAATATTTTCATAATAGCAATGAATATATATATATATGTGGAATTAAAGGATTGTAGGTATGTTTTATTTCATTTTGACTCTGATGGGTAAAACTTCACCAGTAGAACAGTTTCAGTATTGATTTGATAGAACAAACAATAGGGTTATAATTTAGAATGAACTGCAATAGGTGGACAGCAACAGTTACAGTCAAGTCATAGTAAATGATATAAGTGTCAATAATGTTTTATTTTATATAAATAAGTGTTCAACATGGTATACATTTTTTGTTAACTTTATATATTGTTCTGCTTATAGTTTCATTATATTCGATTCCAAATAGCTTCAACTATACGACTTGTCTACAATTTTTTTTTTATTATCGCTAAACAATTTCTGAAATATTTGCTATAATCTAAATAATAGCAAGTCAGTGGCAACAGTAGTAATTAAACAATGCTAACATTATATATCTGAATAAGTCTAGTAGCTATACTTTTGATATAGTAGAATGTACGATTTAATTTTCGTGGGCAGTTCCAAGCGCAAGTGCCAGTATACAGGGCACTATCAAATAGATTTATATGAAAAGAGTCATACAACAAGACTTGTTGTGATGGGTCGGGAGGTGGTTGATAAAGCGTGGATGTAATACACAGGGGCGCCTTGGGCCCCATGTTATAATGCAACTTTCTGTTTAGTTTATTTATCACGAATGCAAAGTAGAAGCAGTTTTTAACATGACCACAGAAGCAGGGATAAATCCTTTGTTGTGATACAAGGCTGTGGCTTCCTTTCTAGACGAACAAAATGTTGTTTACATTTTTATAGCAAAATTCCTTTTTAATAAAAACAAAGCTAGATCGGCCACAGAGGAGTTTATTTATTTCAACAGTCAAACAAAAATTCATAATGTCGGGGTAGTTCTGAACTAGCCGCAATGTAAATTTCCATTGAACATTTCCCCATTATCCTCCACTCAGTTACCTTTAGCAAAAATGGAAAAATAAGTTCATTTAAGCCTTGAGGTTGCGTTATTGTACATATGCTTAAAACCACCTTCAATTCCATTACAACAAGTGATACCCCAGTTCTCGGCGTCTTTAAAAACTTATTAAAAGTGAACTAAATGTCCGCACTTGCGTGGATTGCTTTCTAGAGATTAATTAGAGTCTGTCAAAAACATGTCTTCCTCTTCAACAGTCTTGAAAACATTCAGGTGTCTGAAATATAGAAAGGCCAAAGTAAATTATTAAATAAGTAAATCAATCAATCAATTAATCAATCAATCAACCTATCAATCAAGAATGTTTAACCAGGAACAATGCTATGGATATCAATATAAATCCGCTTTAAATCATAAATTCTCTGAAGCCCCATGTATCAAACTTCTATGTTGGAGATCCTATCATAATTTACTTGATAGAATGTTGCTGCATACAAGGAACCAATTGAACCAATGGGTTTTAAAGTTGAAGTCTTCCTTCCAAAAGTTTTATGGCCCACATATGATTGACCGTTTTCAATAGCAATGACACAGATTACAACCAAATGTTCAATTTGTCGTAGCCACAATTCCGTCTTGTTTTCTTTGATTGTGACAATTATGATAGGATGATTTAACTTTCCACGAGTGTCACTGGTAGACCAAGAACTACTATAGTTTTAAAGGGGTCTTGTCGCTTTTGCTTTAGTTTTCGGTGTTGTAATGTTTGCTATTTTTATTTTAATGTCTGCGCTGTTTCAACTGGTAAAAATCTTGTTCTATCTTTTATTCCGATAAACTGTGTTTTCATTTTAAACCTTCGAATTCGGTCAAGTATATGGTTTGAGAATTTACGTATGTCGTTATGTTAGATAAGAGAAATTTAGCAATCTGGCGAATCACTTAATATTACTCATCAACGTATTTCAACTGATTAAATCGACGGGTGTCACTAGTGGAACAGGAACTGATTTTTCTATCCGGAGGAACTGAGTGTATATACCCACGTTAAATGTATGGAGTTCGCTTTGCACCTAGTTTTCTGTGTAGTGTTTGTGACATGTTGTTTGTCTTTTCGTCCCTTTTCTTTTCTTTTTGTCACAGTTTGTGTTTTTCTTTCCATTTCAGGGGCATATGGGCCGGGGGGCATTTGCCCTTCCTACTTGTAAATGATAGAGGATACTGACTCATTACTAGACTAACTGGACATTACGACTATAGAACGTATATTTTTGTTTCGTTTTGGCTTGTCCCTTCTTTCAGTTTACCCATACACCACTGGGCTATAGGTTTTGTTTGCCCTCTTTTTATCTTACCCTTCGCCCCTTTTAAATTAAGAACGAATATATAATCTTTAAAGTTGAAAAACATAGATATTGTAAATTCACGTAAGTGATTTGTGGATTCGTTTATTTTCGTGTGTAACAATTTTTGTGGGTTGTGGACTAGCTGCACCTTAATGGTGGCTTGCTTTATTGATTTTGATATATACTGTAGACAAATTAAGTATAAAGTATACCACGAATGATAGCACTGTACATATTTTATGTGTGAATTTAAGGGTGTTTCACTCACCAAACAATGAAATTTAAGATTTTTACAATTCACATTTTAAACTTTTTACGGTTTAGAGCTCTTGATCCCATTTTTTCGTATTTTTCTCATGAATTTAAATGAAAAGAAAAAAAAATTTGGTCCCTTGCAGACATCACTTGGAAATTGTAAAAAAAAAAATTATTTCTTTGCATGTTGTTGCTGTGTTATATTTTCATAGATAAAACATAAGAATTTACACACATCATAGATTGACTGAGTTACAAAAGATTAGCAAGCGATGAGGGATTTTTTTTTAATAAAAATTAGATGTGGTATGATTACCAATGAGACAACTATCCACCAGAGTTAAAATGCAGTAGTAGTAAGCAACTATAGGCCATCGTACGGCCACAATGATTAATACGCAACGCATACCGTGTAGTCGGCTATGAAAAATGTGAAACAATTCAAACGAGAAAACGAACGGTCTAATTTATAACAAAACAATTTACGAAAAACAAATATGACAGACACGAACCAACGACAACCATTGTACTACAGGCTCTTGATTTGTAACAGGCACTTAAAGAATGTGGCGGGGTTAAACATGTTTAGGAGACTCCACCCCCTTTTACATGGGATAGTGGTGTAACAGCACAACATAAGAACAAACTAAATCTCAGTTGCATTTGGCTTATTTCAAAAGATCGGCACAAAAACCACTAACATAAAAACAATAGACACAAATCGCCGAAATAAGAGTACTTACAGTTACTGAAAGCTAGTTCAAAGCCAATTACAACTAACAAATGAATCGTGTTCTCCAAGACTGAAGTATCAATCAGAACATATCCAACGGATTTAATGTAAAGACGTCATAAACAGTCCCAGAAACGCTTGCCAAAATATTAGTAAACATTATCTACAGAATGTAGGATCATGTCTTAATTTTTCAAAAGCAAAATCTTTTGTTTGGTTTTTATTAATTGCGTGATTATGGAAACAAATATATTTCCAAGCGGAACATGAATAATACGACTGCAATACCCGCAGTTAAAACCATTCAAAATTAAAAAGAATATCAGGTTAAATTCTCACTGTTGATTAGTAAGAAGTAAAACGATTTCTTCTTAAGTATTTGTGAAAAAAATAGACGATATAGTATTCATACGGTGACAATATTTCTAAAAACAAAAAGTGACATTACCTTACAACTGCAATCAAACATATTTTCAGCTATCATTCTTTTCTGACAATCTTTTAATGTCGATACCTTTCTCCGGAAATTACACAAATAAGTCTGAAGTTTGCCAGTTCTTTTGTCTATACTTCCTAAAATGACATATACACTTTTTATAGCAATACAAGATTTGAGTTAAGTGGTAATTCACTGTTTCATATTTATATTCAGATTTCATGTTTTATATATTATCAAGAAGGAATTTAAAAACAATATTTATATAATTGTGAATTAAAGTTTCTAGAACTTGTTTTAAAAATAATATTACATATAATTTTGATGTTAGCCTAAAATTTTGTTTAGATATTTTTATGATGATTATGCAAAATACTATAATTTTGAGACAAGAAATAATCTCTAGAAATTATAAGAAAATTAAAATTAATTTCATGTAGAAATTCTATAAGAAACATTGCTATATAGTTTGTCAATTTCAAATACCTCCTATGTAATATTCTTCACTGAGTGTGAGTGGAGCTTTACATATCCCATCATTTCCTGGTGTCCAGATTTTTACTTCACCCATCGGTAAAGCGTGTGGTGAGGGTTGCTTGAAAAAAAAGTCATAAGCTGATCTTGATTTGCATAGAAATGAGAAACATAAGAACTTCATATGATTTACTTTGCATACGCCTGCATACGGAGTACATATATCTCCCAGTTGATACGATATTCCAATACTTGTATTTTCTTTCATTATTTCCTTGATAGAGTGTTGCTGCTCACAAGGAAGCTATTAAACCAAGAGTTCCAAGTGGTGAAGCTGAAATCATCCCTTCGTAAGTTTTACGGACGCCATCACGAGTTGGTTGACCGTTATGGAATATCTGTTTCACAGATGACGACGGATATGTTCCAATTGTCGTAACCACAAACCCGTCCTCTTTTTCCACGAATGTGACCTATGGAATCATACTTATTTTAGACGGGTTTGTACTTACATGGGCAACACGACCGGTGCCACATGTGGAGCATGATCTGCTTACCGTCTGGAGCACCTGAGATCACCCCCAATTTTTGGTGGGGTTCGTGTTGCTCAGTTTTTAGTTTTCTATGTTGTGTTCTGTGTACTGTTGTTTGTCTTTTGGTGTTTTTCTTATTTCGCTATGGCGTTGTCAGTTTATTTTCGACTAATTTGTTTGGATGTCCATTTGGTATCTTTCGCCTCTTTTTTACTCATTACAAAACGGGAATTACTACCCAAAATGACAAAACGTGAAAGAAAGGACACAAATACTTTCTCCTATTTTGTTAAGTCTGTAATGTCTTTGACACAAATTTGATTCTAGCAATTATGCAACATTTATCTTCAATAACCTATATGTTTCACGACAACTGTTTTATCTTCATAACACATCTGTCGTTCTTGCAGTCAAGGTTCCAATTGATATCGATATTTTTGTGTTTAAATCTTCCTACATTAAATTCTAGATAATGGGATTCGGTGGTCTACTAGCGACCCGACACATTATCAAAGAAGAAATCCCAGAACTTAAGTAATTCTGGAATTTGAATAAATTTGACATTAACAACTCCGAGGATGGCGTGACTACACATTGATTAAGACAATTCAAAAGTTTTGGAAGAGCTCATATATGCAAAAAAGTCAATGTCTTCATCGAACGATTGACTTTTTCATCCTGTAAACATGCACTCCACATTCTCTAGAAAAGATTAAAAGAATAAATTCAACGTTATTTCTTAATAAACTGTTGACACAGAAATGTGTCTCGACTGTTCACATAAAAATCAGAAAAAGACATTCGATGGACAGCAACATTGCTTATTAATTCAAAGTTGCTGGACAATGATCTTGTGGGAAGGGCCTAGAAATGGTCGACAAACTGAGATGTACTGATAGTAATGCAACTTTATACAACATATCATTGATCTGTCACAAGTAGTGCTCATCAAACTGACTTAGGCAGAAAACTTATTATTAATAACATTGAAAATTGCCAATTAATTCAATGTCAATCGACCATGACCTTGGGGGCAGGGCCTCAAAATAGTCGTCAAACAGATATATCCTGATAGTAATGCAACTTCACACAAACTATCATTGATCTATCAGAAGTAGATCCTATCAAACTAACTCAAGCAGAAAACTTAACATTGAAAATTACTTAGCACATACTTACAACTTCTCGTCCAATCAAATTGCTTATATTTGCCTTCTAATTTTCATAGTACATACTTTTCCTGTGTACTAAGTAACTACGCATGAATGACCACAAGGGTAAGATTTCATTGTATCGTAATCAAGATATTTAAAACAAAAATTGCCACTGGCTATTTTGAAATAAAATGCTGTGTTCCAAATTAAAGACATTAAATTAAATAGTTTGTAATTAGTTTTCACATTGATTTTTAAATATCCTGCTATTAAAATCTTTGGATCTAAAAAATGTTTTTGACAATTGCAAATTTTATCATTGAAATAAAGGGTAATACATATGGTTCTTTATACCTGGATTAGAGTACAACGATATCTTAAAATTATGATAATGTATCATCCATGCAATTACTTTGTACACAGAAAAGTGTGTACTATGAAAACTTTGTAATAATTTTTTAAACTTTCTTAAGGAAAGTGATCTATTTCGTCATGAATTGATTGATTTATTGATTATTGGTTGCTTAATGTCCAGTGGCAAATATTTCCTGCATGTTCAGGACGATGTCATGAATTGAAAAACTGTGATTATGTCTGAAGATAATGTGCCACCTATATATATATATATATATATAAACATATGCTGATAAATCTTTTAGTTTTTACTTTGAACTAATAAAAAAAACCACACAAAACCTATAATCTCTGATCTATTTGTAGTTGCTTTTTAATGCCTATCTGCTAGACTATATCTTTGGGGACAAACTATCTATATGTTTCAAATTTATTATAGCTTTAGTTTTACTGTGAAATTAAAAAATGTTTTCAAAACATATAAAGCTTCCACTGCAATTTCATTATTACCTGCTTTTGGTCAATTCATTTTGTCATCTTACCTAAGAAGAACATGTATAGTAAAACACCGCTTTATATCAGTATACATACTTACACCAGCAGCTACCATCTTTTCATTCTGGAGTGAAGGGCCTTTTGAAATCACATATTTTACAATGATACTGGTGAGTAGATTTACAAAATTCGTTAATGAGCTCCGTTTTACAAACACCTGTGATACAAGTAGTCAGCCAAAATAAACTATCAACAGACCAATTAAAAGATTACTCGAGTTGTAAATATGTGCTAAATTGGATAGTCTATGGAAAGGTATATACTATGAAATTAAGAGCTTGGGGCAAACCCCTCGCTCTGAATTTCATAGTATATACCTTTCCATAGACTAACCTAGACTTATTTATGCAAAGTCACTAGACCATGCCCTAGAGGCCAGGGCCTCAAAATAGTCGTCAAACTGATATGTACTGATAGTAATGCGACTTCATACAATATATCATTGATCTATCACAAGTGGATCCTATAAAACTAACTTAAGCAGAAAACTTAACATGAAAATTGCTAGTTAATTCAAAGTTGCTGGACCATGACATAGGGGCAGGGCTTCGAAATAGTCGTCAATCTGATATGTACTGTGATAGTAATGCAACTTTCTATCAAATTTCAATGATCTTTCACAAGTAGTTCCTATCAAACTAACTTAGCAGAAAACTTAACAATTGTTGACGCCACCGCCGCAGCCGTGGCCGCAGCAATCCCTGTGTCTCGTTTTCCGCGACTTTCGTCGCAGGCGAGATAAAAAGTATGACAAAGGCATATTCAAATATCATTTCGAAGGAGGGAACACTTTTTAATGTGTAAATAAAACCCCCACTGTGATACTACCACAATGTCCCTCAAACTGATATCATTTGAATATTATTTTATTGACAACAAATTCATTATATTTTCTTCTTTTAACAAGCAACCGACATTCTAATGTGAAGCTTTTTTTAGCATTGTTCTTGCCGACTTGTTTTTGTAATCGTACGAGGTAAACTTTATGAAAGGGCTTTTAAAGAAGAGTGAAAAGAACCTACGACTCTCCTTTAATTCTGCATTGCACATATTATGTCTTTCACTGAACAACTAAATACTTGGTAATTCTTTTGATTACATATACCCTATTAACCAATTGAAATACAAGATTTTACAGATACATCTAGATCCTTTCCATGTCAAAACTTACATCTAGAAATCAACAGCCTAAGTTGCAAAGAAAAACACGTTGTAAATAAATGTACAGTTTAATATGTGACAAGCCCTTGTATAATGTATACAAAATTGTGAGTGGAAAAAGTTTACATTCAATAAACTCAGGAAAAAGTAGATATAGGCATAAATTAGTCTTGGGCATAAAATTAACAAATAGCGGGATTGAATAGAGATATCTCCATATATGCCATTGTGAACTTTTCACTTTTAAGCAGCAACATTACAAATGGGGTATACTAAAGTATACTAGCTTGTGTTTCCAATCCGGAAATTACGGTTACCATCAAGAATTATTTGACCCAGATACGATATGTCTGTGTTTAGAAGTTCCTTTATAATATCTACTTTTTACATACATGTATATGAAAACGAATTTGTTGATTTTTTCTTTGTCAAAATCCTCCGTTCTTGCTTGTTCTCTCAGAATAGCATGAAATAGAATTTTACTAGGTTTGAATAACTCGAAGGGAGGCGGTTGTGGTGTAGAACCTGCATAAACTTATGGAGCACCTATGTTTTCATCCGATTTTTAGTGAGGTTCGTGCTGTTCAACGTTTGGTTTTCAGTGCAATATCTTGTAGACTACTTATTATTTGTTTCGGTTTGTCTTTCGATCATTGTGGTGTTGTTTTTCTTCGACATGTTATTCTTTATTGTTTCCAATGTACATTCCTACTTTTTGCACAGTGGTCTGCACAGTACTAAAATAACGCTGTTGTCAGTTGATGTTCTTTAAAGAATGACAGTGTAACTCAACCACAAGTATACCTTTAAAATATCCAGAACGTTCACTACATAGTACACATCTGCGTTTGTCTCGGATCCAGGAACTGTTTGGACTATACCTTTTATGACTGAAAAATGAAGAACAATATGAGAAGTTAAAACCACTTTGTGACGTCAAATTCAATGTACTTCAGTACTTATTTTCTGTTTTAAAGTTGTTCTGCTGACGCCTGCCTGGCAGGCTGAACATGTCGACCAATATTTTAATAAAATTACAGTCTCATGAAGTGCTGATGTCAAATTGGTACTTTAATATGAGAAGTTATATACAATGCTGAATTACAATGCCTAGGTAATGTATGCGATCCCTTCGTGTAGTTTCTTATACATGAATATTTTTGCATTGGATATTTACTTGTTCAGCGTATTCTAGAATAGGTAGTTTCAAAGTTCCTCTGAAACAGTAACCCGGTTTTGATTGATCATACATTATACGTTAGTTATTTGAAAAGAGTCTTCGTGGAAAATTTAGGATACCAAGTAATAAAATGTTTGTTTGTGAAGACACTAGTGTAATTTGGAAAAGCAATAAACTGAAGCAATTCCAGTCCTTCCTTTTGATTGAAAATTGGAAAGAGACGTACTTTTGTCAAGAATTTCTTTTGTGTTGGAGTCGTTGAAGTGGTTTTTTCTCCGCAAGTAAATCTTCAATACCTTATTCCCGTTATGTAATGTGACGAACTTACTAAAATAATATTGTTTGGGGTTTAATTGCGGAGACAACAACGCATTTGTCATAGAGATAAGGCAGATGTTAACCAACATTCCTTCGGATCTATGAATATGAGCATAAGGTTAAAAGTTTTATTTTTTTTATTTGCAACGAAGAACTAACAGCTTTAACCCACTCGGAAAGGTAAAACTTCAATATAAAAACATTAATCGAAGATAACAGGCTTATAATTGTGTACGCCAGACGCGCCTTTCGTCTTCAGAAGACTCACCAGTGACGCTCAAATAAAATTAAATTAAAAAGCTAAATAAAGTATGAAATTGAAGAGCATTGAGGACCCGAAATTCCAAAATAAAATGATACATAATAAGCGACAATGCAGAAAAGTATTTTATAATGCTATATACATGCTGAAGTATACTTTTTTTATTTGTTTTACTTAAAATATTGTATGTTACATTTGTGTTTATGTTTATAACTGACTACAGCCTTTGTGGCGCTCGAATCAACGCAGTTCGAAGACAAATCAATAACAAAAAGGAAAAGTAATTTATGCCAGGGAGTCGAAAAACAGTATTATTTTGAATGATTTTAACATTTCTCATAAACAGAAAATGAACAGAAAATGACCATATCAATGAAATCTCCCGCTTTTTTGATAAATTCATGATCATTATAACTGTAAAGTACTTACTAAATTCAGAACCACAAACGTACTGATGAAGCGATGTTTCCCCACAGGAACATCCTAGTGACCATGAAACCATTGACAATACAGTTAGCACGTACAGCAGCAGCATGTTGTTCTAAAATCTAGTAAAAGATAAACATAATTTGGTACACTATTAAGTTTGTATTCTTGATAATATAAATAGGACTCTTAGCGTTGCATTTATTAATTTATAGTAATCAAAGCGCTTTCAATTTACTAGGAAGGAATTCAAGTATTTATTTTTTTACTTAATCCTGTCTGAAATACTTGTATCTATATAATATATATAATGTCAATTATAAAATCAATTTACCAAAACAAACGGAAAAAAATCCAAAATGTCATTTTGTCTTTTAAAAGTCGTTTAACAAATGAGTTATTTCCCTTTGAACAGAAATCTACTAATTAATAAGTATTTCATCAAAAATTTAATTCTAGGGAAAGCGCTTTAACTGAACGAAGAGAAAAGCTAAAATCGTGAAAATTGAACTTGACCTGTAACTTGTCATGATAAATCAATAAACCAAAATCAAATCAATATCTTCAAGCACGAAGAAAAAAAGTCTGGAAAACTGATTTGCCGGACTGACAGATGGACAGACAGACGGACGGACAGACAGACAGACAGACAGACAGACAGACAGACAGACAGACGGAGTGCAAACCTAAAGTCCCCTTCGACTTCGTCGGTAGGGGACTAATAACAAAACATTATCAAGTTGAAATTTTCATAAATATAATATTTTTTTTAATAATACAACCATTTAAATAATACACCAATCAGGTAAAATTTAGAAAATAATAATTTAAAATATTTTTTTTTTAAATTTTCAAATGAAAAGAGTTGAGTTTAGTAAAGATTAACGATGAAGCAAATAATCAGGAAACAACATTAATGAATATCACATATATATATGTTTCTTCGTAACTCATTCGACGATCACTGGACTTGCTGATATATTTGATCCACATTGGGGTCCAGAAACTATAGGTTGTGAAGACATTCAACAGAGCCAATCAAATATTTGAATTTTACAGTGTTTCCAGTATGTTCAAACATCAGAAAGAAAACTACTAAATTGGAAAAGGCAAAATAACAAACCACAAAGTAGGGTTAAACCGGCAAGTTGCGTGTCAATCCCCTTCCTAATAACTTGGCTTAAGCTTTTGACAAAACACGAGAAAGGATAAATCGCACAATAAAAGTTAGTACAGATGAAGTGTTAGATTGGCATGTGCAGCACTATATCAGAAATGTATTATTATTTTAAGATATAGATCTCTAAATTAATATCCGTAGTTCAAAGTAAAAAATATGTTAAACTATATATGTTTTTATTTCTATATCCTATTCTAAATCTGTTGATATGTTGGTGTTTTTCAAGATGTCGGTATATTTCCAGTAGGGGAATAACCCTTCCTATGAGTGGGTGTGATCAGATCGGATAACAAAAAAATTATGTAATACAGTATTACAAGATTTCAAAGCTAATTTGAGGAGCCATACTAGCTTTTCGAAAAATAATTTATGATCAAAGGATTAAAACACATAAAAATAAAAAAGCAAAATAAACAAACGTCAAAAACAGGAAACAAATGTCTATGTATCGGAAATTCACCTTAAAATTTACCAATTTTAGATACATCATTCTGTTAACTTAAAATTTCTCTAGGATCAACCTCAGGTATCCGAACAGGTATCAAAACCATAGCAATATCAAACCATTAAGATCGGTTACGTCTGTGAGTCAATAATATTGAATTATATAGATATAGGAATATGTGGTATGAGTGCCAATGAGACAACTCTCCATCCAAGTAACAATTTATAAAAGTAAACCCTTATAGGTCAAGGTACGGCCTTCAAAACGGAGCCTTGGCTCACAACGAACAGCAAGCTATAAAGGGCCCCAAAAATTACTAGTGTAAAACCATTCAAACGGGAAAACCAACGGTCTAATCTATATAAAAACGAGAAACGAGAAACACGTATGAACTACATAAACAGACGACAACTACTGTACATCAGCTTCCTGTACATATAGTTCATCATCAGTGGCATCAATGCACGTAGCAGTACAAAAATATACCAGCTACCAAAGTTTATTTGCTCATGTTTGATGCACCATATGTGTGAATCCTGAATAAATCTCTCGTTAATTGTGATCGAAACCACATATTAGAATCTAAAAAAATATCAAATGTTCTAGAATCTTCAATCTCAAAACATCAATATCAAACTCAGCTATTCACATCAAACTAATTGTACATAAAATTTTTTAATTTTTTTTTTCCTCTACATGTATTTTTAATTTGTATATATTTTAATGTATGTCTTGTTGTAAGTTATCCTCCTGTGACATAATCTCCAATTTGGTAGAAGTCGAAATAGAAGAAGAACAATAGTTTAAAAATAACTTAAAACATGAATACGATCAAGTTTTAATACCTTGAGAAACAAATGTAATATACATATAAGAGATTTAGAAAATGAAAACAAACCTTCTATGAAATGTCCAGATGTTACAAATTGTTTACATATAGTTTTGTGTGTCATAATATTACACAAGTTTCCTGTTGACAAGATTTTGTATCACTACACAATGTTATTGTAATTAATGAATAAAGTTAACGTTTTTCGATACAGACGAAGGAAGGTACATAACAAGTTTACTGATTGAAATACATTTGCCCGGCGGAATTTCTACATCACATCCAACAAAACATTTACAAAGGATTGATTGACGCAGGATTGATTGCATTTCAGCAGAATGACTGAAATCACCATAACAGGATTAGACTCGTTATAATAATAATCACGCATATAAGTACTTGTACATTCTTGACTTTCAAATATTTGGGTTTGAGTGTTCCTTTTAAAGGTAAATCCGAAAAAGCAATTCGTATGCATTAAATTTATAAAGTGCTTTTTTCATTTCAAATCTTTTATTCTGAAACATTTGAAGCAGCACATGTATGTTCCAGATCATTTTAAAATCACATCGTTTTATAAGTACGATTTGTAAATAGCTCTATATAATAAACAAATTATGAAATATAAAAAAAGCAACGGCCGTCACCCCCACCCAAAAAAAAAACCAACCCCAAACACCCCTCCCCGCCCCCAAAAAAAACTCAAAAAGCAACAACACATAAAACCCAAAATAAAACAAAACCCTCCAAAAATAAAAACCGACCAAGCAAATTTTTTTTTATTAATAACAGAAATAAGGAAAATGAAACAAAAAACGGATCAATCAAACGATAACAAAATAAACAAAACAAATTTATAACAGAGAAAAAATAAAAGCTTGTTAACCTGACAATATTCAAAGTTACTACATTCCGAAAAAATTGAAAGAGAAATGTGAAGTCAATACGAAATAGATATGATTGACTGTTTGATGAATGTTAAATTAACGTCTAGTGGCAAATACTTCATGCATATTCAGGATAAGAACAACTTAACAATTATTCAGAATTGTAGGCTAAAAAAAGTGGTGCATTGTACGACCGGGGTTAAGAGTCGAATGTGAACTGCTACTGGGTCTGTTGCACAGAAAGTTTTCCTTAAAACAGACCACCTATATGTACACCCTCCATCCACGAGTCATTGGATTTCACGTCCCATTCCGACCGGACGTGGCTGCGTATTTATACATCCTGCACAGCCAACGGACACACATTTTTTGCATGGATTCTTTTGCCGAATGAGAGAAGTCAAGGATACATGTAAATACTCTTATTTAAATGAGGATTAGATTTCATCAAAATTTTACATTTTCATAACCTGAAAAACTGAATGAAAGTAGATGATGTATATACGTCAGTGAGACAAAAGCCAACGACAAAACACCAAAAAGACACGTAGATGCCGATAAACGGTCATCAAAAATAGGCAGATGTATAAACAATATCGAGTTCTTAAAGTTAAAAACATGTAAAAAAAGTTGTGAATAAACTCAACAATTATAGATCTTCTATCAACACTAAATTTTCCCAAATGACAAAGGACATTTAGTTATGATAAAAAAAAACAACCATTGACAATATCCCTGACTGTAGACAAGCAAATGAACCTATGGCGAGGTTAAGCCAGTTTCTAGATCTCAGCTCTCCCCGGAACAGCGGAATAATATCAGGAACAATAAAATTAAGTTCAGGAAAGGCACCTTACTCAATATTAACGGTATGATAGATAATAAAACACAAATACTAACAAAGCAAAAATAAACAATACCGTATTAAAAATGTTCGTTGTTGCTAAAGCTAGCTCAAAGTACTTAATTAGCCTTATGATATGAAATCATACCCTCCTATACTCTTGTATTAATGACTGTATTTCTGAGAAGACCGAAAAACACAATATTGAAAAATTATTTGAACAAGCTTGCATAATTTCAATGCATAAAAAGTAAAGAATCATTTTCTGTCTTGATTCAAACTTTGAAATTAGCAAATACATATAAATAATAAAACAAAAGTTTAATTAGAACCGTTATTGATAAGTGTATCCTTCCATTGGTTGGGCTGATGTTGCTTCATCTTAAGTTTTCTGTGTTGTGTTCTACAATCTGTCTTCTGTCTTGGTGTTCTTTTCTTCAGTATCATTATATAACTTTTTTCAATAAGTCTATGACCCCCCCCCCCCCCTCCCCCCACACACAATAATGATGATAAAAAAAATAATTAGAGTGATTTCTATAAGCTTTTTAAGTAACATTACTTTGAAGAAAATTTACTTGTTTTTTTTTTATATATCAAAATCATACTTCCCCAATAAACTCTGTACGTGCATGTAGAATATATTAAGAGTCTGGTCTTATTTAAGATATTATAATCCGGTCATTGCTTTCTGAGAAATCACTGAAATATAGGACATATCGAACAAGTGAGAAGTGAGGAGCCAACGCAATTGTTTTATTTTTTGGGGCAAACAACTATAGAAGTTAAAGAGAAATTAAACACAAAATATTATCAGCAATACAAGATGAACAAAAAAGAGTTTTAGTCATGAACAGTATTCTAGTCTATAATGTCGGAGAGTGTCCATTGTTGAAGATGTTTTGTTCTTTCGCGATATCTATGCTTTTAAGTGTGTTTAATCCACCCCTGAACAACCAACCCACACAAAACTCACCTCATGGTGTTCTCACACAGATCTTGGTGTTCTTGCACAGATCTTGGTTTTCTCACAGATCCCCCATCTTTGCCATTGTTGGCAAAAAAAAATGAAATTAAAAAATGAAAATGAAAGAGGACACTGAATAACCTCTAGCCAATTGTCTTTAGAATTTTAAAAATCCATCCAAATTAAATGAAACATTATAACACAAACGTCCACTGGACTATTGGCTCATAGCATGGAACAGACGCATATCAGGTATGTTACACTCATAACATCATGTCGGCACTCATAACCTCTATATAAACTGTAGGCTGTCATGGTCCATCATGCGTTTATCTTGTTTCCAGCATCCTGATGGTCTTGTATTCTGTTGTGTTTACCATGCCGAGATTCTCCTCTTTTCGTTGAAAGACCAGTGATAGAGCAGATATGTTTGGTAGTGTCTCAGCCAGTAGCAATAAGGATCTCAGTGTGGTTTAGTTTATTGGGCTCTTCGGGATATCATTACCAACTGCGGCATTGCTAATTTCTGATGTCTCCAGGTTGACAGCAATAGGTAGTGCCAAGTGAACCTAGTATTTATCCATTACAAGACAACTCGTTGACTCTTCCTAAAATCAAAGACAACGTAGTATAAATTTCTTTTTCTTGCAGGAATTAATAAAGCTTTCCCCCATGGACACTGATGCTTTCCTAAAGGTTAAATAGTTCCTGCTCCTTTAGTGGAACTCTATCGTGTTGCTCATGGCAAGTCTACACCTGTTGATAACTGGTATTATGTGGGAGTTGTTAACGAATTGAGAGTCATGGTAAAATAAAACCAAGTATGCAAATCTCCAAAACAACTAATTGCTACCATTTGTATTTTTAATTAGTAATAGTTATACACTGAGGGATAGGTGTGTCTGGATAAAAAACCTCTCCGGCCTCCGGCCGTCGGGGTTTCTTATCCAGACACACCTATCCCTCAGTGTATAACTAACTTACACCCGATGCTAAACCCTATATTTGTTTACATTGAATATTAAATGAAAAAGAAGGGATAACATTTTTTGGACAATATCAAACCATGATTAATAAGAATTTTTTTAAAATGAAACCCCACTAGTAACATTACTTTGACGGTCTTCATTCGAACTTTGACAAGTGAGTAGATTTTACAAATGTCAAAGTTGCCATTTTGCATATTCCAGTTAAATCCATGTGCTAATATGGATCAGCAGGTCAAGGTTGGCCATATATCGTACATTCTTGATACAAAAAAAAAATACATCATGCTCCTTGTATGCAGTTGTCAATATGGACGGGTATGAGACGGACGACATTTTGAGTCAAGCGTTGGATTTGACAGAAGAGTCTAAAGATAAGGCAATATTTATAACCCATAAAGGTAATCATAGATTTATTTTACATGTAACTTACGGTTTTATACCCCCCGAAACCTCTTCTCAACATTAAACAAACAAACATTAATTTGAAACATACTGAGGAATGGGTGTGTCTGGATTAGAAACTGGACGACCGGACACGCTTAACATACAAAAATACAGATTGCATATATAGGAACCCCCGTTTTGGGGGCAATCCAAAAGGGGGGGGGGGGGGTCTGAGCGTTGGACTTTTTTACGATTAATTCTTTTGAATGGGGACATATGGCTAGAACTCCCCCCCCCCTTATCCTGGGTTGGCACCCCCTTTTAAAAATTTTGGATCCGTCCCTGGGTGCCATCATTATCTTCAACAATCCAAAAATTAATAAATTTATTTTTATGAGTAAGACTTAGTCCAAATGTAAACTATATGTTTTAATGTATAATTTACATAAAAGTTCTTTTTATGTATGTTTTTTTAAGACATTGCCATATGGGATTAAAATTGTAGCTTCAAGCTAAGGAGTATTTAAATGATTTTTTTTATTCAAAATAGATGCTAAAGATTTTTTTCGCTATTGCATGGAATTTCCTGAAATATGTTTTTTTTAATATGTCTTGAAACAACTTGTAGTGAACACTATTCGTAATCTCTTGTGTTCATGCTATTAAAAAAAAATCATATTGTTATGAATAACAATGGACTGTGTTTTCGGGATGTAGAAGCAGGTGTTTCCAGAAACCCCGCTCGTCATACCCTGTGGTCAAAATCCATTGTTATTCGTAACAATAGATCTATTAATATAATGTTTTGGAAGGGTAATGCAAAAAAACAAGTCAAGAAACGTGAAATTCAGGAATGCGATATACGAGAGATAGTTTATCTCGACTGTTTTTTTTTTGCAACCGTACTATCGTCTATTGTATTCGGATCACTTTGCACATTTTTGTGATCTCAGGTTTTATTCGATCGATGATGTCAGAATCGATAAAATTGGACGGGATTATTGCAATTTGAACAAAACTTTGGTCATTCTTGACACAGTTATTACATCGATCAATCAAATAACTATGGCGTCCGTAAAACATCCTA